TTTCGAGCACGCGAGCCAGGTCTTGGATCACTACTTGCGTCCCCTCCTGACTCTAGCGCCAGCCCATGTTCCAGACTCTATCTCATTGCTACACACCCTCCGTACTCGCCCCATACCCGAGCGCGCTATCTTTCTCACATATGATGTTGAAAGCGTATACCCATCGATCCCGTTACGCGAGGGACTCGACGCCATATCTACATCGGCTAACCGCTATGTTCGCAAGCTCGCACACTCTGGCATAGCTGATGTCTATTTGGCACACCGCCTGCATGCCTGCTGTCAGCTACTCAAACTAGTGATGTCTCAAAACCATCTCCAGTTCGGAGATAAGTTTTACAGGCAGGTCAAGGGCACAGCCATGGGCACCCCAGTGGCGGTTATTTATGCGGTTCTGTTCATGAGTTGGCTCGATGCCCAGATGGCAGAGAAGCACCCACACCTTAGCAGGCACATCCTACTGTACAGACGATACATTGACGACGGCATCATCATTTGGACAGGCCCTATCTCAGAGCTTCATGACTGGGTACGTGGGTATAACTCTCTACTGCTGGGGATCCGCATCACCAGCGAGATTGGGCACTCCAGCTTCACCGTTCTGGATATCACTTTCACGAAAGGTAAACTTTGGAGTCAGACGGGCGGGGGGACGGAGACGGGAGGTTTGTTGGACACTGAGGTGTTTCAAAAACCTCTCAATGCCTACCAGTACTTCCCTTTCAGCTCGGCCCATCCTCGACATTGCAAACGCGGTTTCATCATCGGTGAGTTATACCGGTACGCTTTGAGAGAGTCCAGTGAGGAAGGTTTCAATCGAATGAAGAAACTTTTCGCAGCACACCTGCAGGCCAGAGGATACACATCGTCGTTTATCGGTAAGATCTTTGATGAGGTACAGTATTCGGACAGGGAGCGATTACTAGAGAGGAGTCTCAGCAAAAGAGACAGAGACGGCCGGGTCTTACCTCTTGTGCTCAAGTTCCACCCGAACTTAGAGCACAAGATGGTCAGATCCTTGCTACACCCTAGCCAGAAACGGAGCCCTCTCGACCCGTTTTGTTCAAGACCACTCTTCTTTGGCTTTAAGGCAGCTCCCAAACTTCGCAATATGCTCGTGCGCTCGTCGTTCATAGACGATGAGGAACTCGATGGTACTAGCGAGGCTACTTCCGAGTTGAGTACTACATGAGAAACTCCCATACACCACACCCACTGACACCACCACCCACACGCACACACACCCACACATCCGCCTCCACGTTTTGAGACACATACGATAATTGGCCCACACATCCTCATACGATACACACCTTATACTCTTTTCACTTTTGCTCCCTTCTCCTCTTGTTTCACCTCCTCTCTCCTATTCTTTCCCCCCCCCCCCCCCCTCCTCCAAATTTTCTTCTCTTACCTCTAATACCCTCATCTTCTCCACCCTTCTCCCTTCTTCTCTTTTTCTTTTCCACCCCGTCCCCCACCCCCCCCAATTTTTCCTCTCTTACCTCTACTACCCTCATCTTCCCCTCCCTTCTCCTCCCTTATCTTCTTCTCTCTTCTTCCCTCCTCTCGCCCTTTTCCATCTCCCTTATCTTCTTCTCTCTTCTTCCCTCCTCTCGCCTTTTTCCATCTCCTTTATCCCGTTCTCTCTCCCTCTCTCTCTCTCTTTCTCTCTTTCTCTCTCTCTCTCTCTCTCTCTCTCTCTCTCTCTCTCTCTCTCTCTCTCTCTCTCTCTCCCTCTCTATCTCTCTCTCTCTCTCTCTCTCTCTCTCTCTCTCTCTCTCTCTCTCTCTCTCTCTCTCTCTCTCTCTCTCTCTCTCTCTCTCTCTTTCTCTCCCCCTCTCTCTCCTTCTCTCCCTCTCTCTCTCTCTCTCTCTCTATCTCTCTCTCTCTTTCTCTCTCTCTCTCTCTTGCTCTCTCTCCCTCCCTCTCTCTATCTCTCTCTCTCTCTCTCTCTCTCTCTCTCTCTCTCTCTCTCTCTCTCTCTCTCTCTCTCTCTCTCTCTCTCTATCTCTATCTCTCTCTCTCTCTCTCTCTCTCTCTCTCTCTCTCTCTCTCTCTCTCTCTCTCTCTCTCTCTCTCTCTCTCTCTCTCTCTCTATCGGTTTTTCGAGGTAGGAGTCCGCTGCTGCTGCTTAGCTGAGCGCGGCCGAGTGAGAAAAGCTCTGAATACCAAGTGTCACAAGATCGAATGTGTCGAGGAAAGGTTGCACTATCAATCAGTACAAGGCGTTTTTATACTTCCAAAGTACATCAGGTAACCAGGTCTATCCTATCCCAAGGGAATAGACCCTTCTAGAAAATAGAATCACCCTGCGTATAGCCATGCGAGGCTATTGGCTTTAAGGTATTACGGCAGGATTACGCTAGATATAGCACGCTAGTACACCCCGAGCCTGGCCGGTGATACAGTATAATGATAATAACAGTATAAACCAAAGGTTTATGGAAAATGAGGAATAGGAATCTAAATGGAATGAGATAAAGACCAAATGAATCATGATAAAAAGATGAATGAAATGGAAAGGGAAGATGGAAAGGAAAAAGGAATAGAATGGGGTCGTACTCTCACAGTTACGGGAGTTACGAGTACACAATTATGCCTTTTGACTTAACAACCACGCCTTTGACGTTCTAGTTAACCATGAATGAAGTTTTTCGCCTGCTGCTGGATAAATGCGACATCGTGTACCTCGACGACATCCTGGTCTACAACGCTACCCGGGAACAGCATTTGAAGGATTTGGAAGCGGTTTTCTCTCTTGCAGCAGCACCGACTCATCACCAAGGGCTCTAAGTGCGAGTTTCTCAAACACGAACTGGAGTTTTTGGGCCACGTCATTTCCATCGACGGGGTTAAAATCGACCCAAGAAAATCGCGACGATACAAGACTGGAAGCCGCCGGCTAATCTCCGTGAAATTCAAAGCTTTATGGGGTTCGTGAATTACGACATTTCATTCCGAACATGGCGGGGGTCACTTCCCCTCTCACGGATCTCCTGAAGAAGGGCAAGTTTTATGAGTGGGGGGGAGAGCAGCAGGCTGCGTTCGAACAGCTCAAATTTTTCCTGACTACACCTCCAGTTCTTCGGATTGCAGATCCTCACCGTCCATTCGAACTCATCACCGATGCTAGCGATTTGGCCGTTGGCGCAGTACTGTTACAAGACTTCGGCGAAGGCCTCCAACCCATCGCCTACGAGTCACGAAAGCTGAACCCGGCCGAGCGAAATTTATCCTGTCCATGACAAGGAGTTACTCGCCATCATTCACGCCTTCAAAGTCTGGCGCTGCTATCTGACAGGTGCTGACGTGACAGTCCGAACAGACCACAAGTCGCTACAGTTCATCTGCGCCCAACCGACACTGAATCCCCAACAGATTCGCTGGCTCGATTACCTCGATACGAATTTCCATAGTAGAGTCACCTACAAACGGGAGTTAGCAATATCGCCGACGCACTAACCCGCCCTTCAGTTCACACCGCCGCGGTCCTAATTACCCAAGCTAGTCCGCTGTTAACTGGCCTATTCACCTACGGATATAGTACCGACCCATTCTTCACCACTAACGGTCATCTCCAACTAACGGTCAAGCAAGGGGCCTATTACCTAAAATCTGGTACCAATCGGATTTGGGTTCCCGCCTACCGTACCCTACGGGAATTGCTAATCCAGGAGGCACATGAATCGAATTTCTCGGGTCACTACGGCGTCGACAAAACCGCCAAGCTACTGAGCCGTAATTATTACTGGCCCTATTTGCCGACAGACGTCCAGCTGTACGTCACCTCCTGCGCTACGTGTCAACGCATGAAGTCTTCCCGACTCCGACATGCTGGATTGCTGCAGCCACTCGAGCCACCCAACCGACCCTGGCAACAAGTGACGATGGGTTTCGTCACTGGCCTGCCAGCCGGTTCAAGCAGTAACGACGTGATGCTCATCGTCGTTGACCGGTTGACCAAGATGGCCCATTTCGCCGCCTGCAAGACGACATTTACTGCCGAACAGACAGCGAAAATGTTCCTCACAAACATCGTGCGGCTACACGGCATTCCCTCGGCAATCATCAGCGATCGCGACCCACGGTTCACGTCCAACTTCTAGACAAAAACCTGGTAGCAGTACGTCACACGTCTGCATCTGTGCATGGCGTACCACCCACAATCGGACGGCCAGACTGAGCGCACCAATCAGACGATGGAGCAGCTGATTCGCACGACGTGCACAGATCCGGCCCAATTGGAGGACGCCCTTCCCTTGATCGAGTTTGCGTACAACAACGCCCCATCTGCCACGACCACGACTACTCAGTTCCCGTTCTTGATCCAACAACCCCTCTATCGCCCCCGATAGAAAACCCGGCACCAAGATCTCAGCAGGTCGTCGAAAATCTCTGACAGTCTTAGCAAAAAGCCGCCGATGCCATCCTCAAAGCCAACCAGAGGGCTAAGCAGCAAGTTGACCGATGACGCCGAGACTTAACGCTCGCCCCTGTGCAATTGGTCATGCTCGACACCTGAAATTTGGGAATTCCCCTCCCAAATAAATTACGACAAAGATTTTGCGACCCATTCCGTACCATCCGCATGGTGACACCCATCACCGCCCAGCTGCAACTGCCGGCCGACTGGCGAATTCATGATTCATTTCACGTCAGTCTTCTGCGACCGTTCGTCCCGAGTACGACTAATCTCGATCGTCAACACATCAATCCTACGGTCAACCCAGTACCCGAGGCAACGATCGAGCCATCCAAGATTCTCGCTCATCACGTATGAGGCCATCGAGAGACAGCAGCCGTTGATTTCCTTGTACAATGGGTCAATCACACAACCGACGACGATCTTTGGGTCCCCGCAGCTATGCTCGGTGAACACAGAGCCGTTCGGGACTATTTACACCGTCGACGTGTCCCGGATGTGGGTAGTCTCATTCCGGAAGGGGGGGTGGTGTAAGGAAATTCCCTTTTCCTTACTGGGCTCGACTACAGCGTGTACGCCCTCGACTCTCGGAAGTCCACGCTCGGCCAACTTCTTCGGTCCCGAGCCATTTCATGAACCCAAACCTAGACGCGCGGCGCTTCCGTGGCTTTCGCCAACCGGACCGCCCCAACCTGTTTGCGTGGTTCTCGACTAGCTCTGTTCGTGCCTATAAATGCCTAGGCCCTCATTTGTATCGACACTCTTGAATCACGACTCCTTTATTGCACTACCTGAGATTACTCTGATTAATTCATAACACAGCCTGCCCCCACACCAACCCCAGCGAACTCCAATCTGGCGGGTTACTCAGGAACGAGGGATCTGTCCGCTCTGCACTCGAGGTCGGCCTGCCTGCTCTTCACCATGTCGGTGCACTCATCTAGGGTTTTCATGCACCTGTCGCACTTTCAACTCGCCATTTGTTCCATGGCTGACTGACGTCTAGCGCAGCCAGAAACGTTAGGTCGAGACATGTTATGTAGCGTTAGAGTTACGCGTTCACATTCCTATTGTGCTAGACAATGACGCGCGACGTCAGCGACGGCGACGGCAGTCCGCCTCGCATGGTAACCCGCCACCGCGGACCCGGACACCCTGGCACCTCGGCCACTACTCCACGTGGCAGGCGTGGCGGTGGTTTTGGCGACGAGCATATGCTCTCGCCCAGAAATGGCGGGGCCAACGGGGTAGGGGGAGGGGGAGGGGTAGAGGGGGAGTACGGGTTGGGCCAGCAGCAGCAGCGGGCGCGGGCGGCGAGCCGGCCGTTGGTTCGCACGGTGCAGGAGGGGCAGCAGATGGCGGCGCAGGTGCTGGACGCCGACGAGTACCCCGACGAGTACCTCGACGCGCCCGACGGCAGCGCCGACTATTTATCGCAACGAGGGCCCGTCCGCCGCGCCACGGTGCCGTCGCCGTCCGCCGCGGGATACCAGGGCCAGGCAGGCGGCGTGAGCACGTCGCCGCTTCGCGCCAACATGGGCGCGGGGATGGGCGCGGGGGTGGGGATGGGCATGAGCGCGGGGCACGGCATTGCGGATGGCGAGAAGGACAGAGGGCGGCACGAGCGTGGCGACCCGCGACGAGGCGGCGAGGCGAAGCAAGTGCGAAAGGTGCGCAAGTAGGGCGGTGTGTGGCACGGCGTCGCTTAGGCGCACGGCAGTGCCTCGCCAGGGAGGCGCGGCCCATACCGCCGTCTCCATTCGCTCCGTTGCTCTCATTTGCCAAAGCACGCATGCTCGTCTCTCCACATTTTCCCCATTTTTCGCCTCGGTCGGCGCTTTGGCTGGTGGCGCCCAATCGGCCGCTCATGCGTGCTCTAGCCCGCGTCAGCTGCCAGCAATGCAGTTCCAGGCCACGCGTCCTTCCGCCGCTCATTCGCGCCAAGGAGGTTCACGAGTCCGTGCATTCTCCTCTCTCACGCCGCTCGTCCCGTGCGTCCCCCCTGCGTGCTCTGCGCAGTTCTCGTCGCTGCCCAGCTATTCGGGCGGCGACGGCGCCGTGCTCTCCCCGCAGGAGGTCATGAGTCCTCGCCGCGTCGCCAAGCCCGCGCGGGCCACCATGGCCACGGGCATGTGCATGGGCGCGGGTGCGACGGGCAGCTACCAGCCGTCGTCGCGGGGCGAGGCGGAGGTGCTGCGCGCGGTGCTGGCGCTGCTGGACGGCGTGCGCGACAACGACGTGACGCGCGTCAACCGCATCCTGCAGGACGCGCCCTCGCGCACGGCGCTGCTCAACTGCTGCCACCCGGGTACTCCGCGCTGCTCCCTCATGCTCCCAGCCTGCCACCTGACTCCGCCCTTGTTCTCACGTCTACCCTCTCCCCGTCCACTCCCTTCTCCACAGCTGATCCTCTACCCCTCCTCTTTGTCTCCCCTGCCCTCCTCTTCCCCTCCTCCGCTTCTCCTTCCGCTTCGCCACCTTCCCCATGCCCCTTTTTGCCCCCCCTCTGCTCCCGCCCCCCAGGCACGGGGCGCACGGCGCTGCACGAGGCGGTGATGGCGGGCAGCGTGGAGGCCGCTGCTGCGCTGCTCGAGTGGGGGGCCGACCCCGATGGCGGCCAGTCGTCCCAGGTGGGTGCAGCAGTCGTGCCAGGTGGGTGCAGCGGTCGTGCCAGGTGGGTGCAGCGGTCGTGCCAGGTGGGTGCAGCAGTCGTGCCAGGTGGGTGCAGCAGTCGTGCCAGGTGGGTGCAGCAGTCGTGCCAGGTGGGTGCAGCAGTCGTGCCAGGTGGGTGCAGCAGTCGTGCCAGGTGGGTGCAGCAGTCGTGCCAGGTGGGTGCAGCAGTCGTGCCAGGTGGGTGCAGCAGTCGTGCCAGGTGGGTGCAGCAGTCGTGCCAGGTGGGTGCAGCAGTCGTGCCAGGTGGGTGCAGCAGTCATGCCAGGTGGGTGCAGCAGTCGTGCCAGGTGGGTGCAGCAGTCGTGCCAGGTGGGTGCAGCAGTCGTGCCAGGTGGGTGCAGCAGTCGTGCCAGGTGGGTGCAGCAGTCGTGCCAGGTGGGTGCAGCAGTCGTGCCAGGTGGGTGCAGCAGTCGTGCCAGGTGATTCCCTTTCCTTTTAGGTGCCTCACTCGTGCATGTCACATCCGACACCTCTTGCTTCAAGCATCTCCCCTCCTTCTTTTCTTCTTTCCCCGCTCGCCTGTCCTTACGCCTCCATCTTCTTCTCTCACCCATGACCCCTCCCCCTCATGCGTGCACAGATGCCGCCCATACTGCTGGCGGTGCAGGGCGGCGGGGACAAGCTGGTGACGCTGCTGCTGTCGCATGGGGCGGACATCAACGCGCACGACACCCACCTCTGCACCGCGCTGCACTACGCCTGCGCTGCTGCCCACCGGTACCCCAACCGACATGTGCTGCATGTGCCGCTGCCACATGTGTGTGCCGCTGCCACATGTGCTGCATGTGCCACTGCCACATGTGCTGCATGTGCTGCTGCCACATGTGCTGCATGTGCCGCTGCCACATGTGCTGCATGTGCTGTTGATCATTCGTTTGCTCGTTTGACCTCCCCGTGCCATTCCATGTGCTGCGCCATGCCATTCCATGTGCTGCGCCGTGCCATTCCATGAGCTGCGCCATGCCATTCCATGAGCTGCGCCATGCCATTCCATGTGCTGCGCCATGCCATTCCATGAGCTGCGCCATGCCATTCCATGTGCTGCGCCATGCCATTCCATGTGCTGCACCGTGCCGTGGCCTCATTGCACTCTCTTCCTGCCCTGTCCTTGCCGTGCTGCTGCCCTGTCCTTGCCGTGCTGCTGCCCTGCCCTGCCCTCTGCGTCATGGTCAGCGGCATAATCAAGCTGCTGCTGGTGGCGGGCGCCAACATGTACGCGCGCAACAGCGACGGCCTGCTGCCCCAGCAGCTGGCGAGCACGGACCGCATCCGCGCGCTCTTCTCCAAGCTGCACGACTACCACCACCGCCACGGCCTGCTCCCCCACCACGCCACCGCTGCCAATAGCGCCATGGCCGTGGGCGCGTCCCCTCCGGCCAGCCCTGGCGGCCTGGACAGGCGCAGTCCGCACGAGGGCGGGCTGCTGGGCGACGAGGCGTGGGACGAGGAAGGTGCGCGTTCCATGCTCGCTCTTCCGCATGCTCGCACTCCAGCATGCTCGCACTCCAGCATGCTCACACTCCAGCATGCTCGCACTCCAGCATGCTCGCTCTCCAGCATGCTCGCACTCCAGCATGCTCGCTCTCCAGCATGCTCGCTCTCCAGCATGCTCGCACTCCAGCATGCTCGCACTCCAGCATGCTCGCACTCCAGCATGCTCGCACTCCAGCATGCTCGCACTCCAGCATGCTCGCACTCCAGCATGCTCGCACTCCAGCATGCTCGCACTCCAGCATGCTCGCACTCCAGCTTGCTCGCACTCCAGCATGCTCACACTCCAGCATGCTCACACTCCAGCATGCTCACACTCCAGCATGCTCGCACTCCAGCATGCTCGCTCTCCAGCATGCTCGCACTCCAGCATGCTTGCTCTCCAGCATGCTCACACTCCAGCATGCTCGCACTCCAGCATGCTCGCACTCCAGCATGCTCGCACTCCAGCATGCTCACACTCCAGCATGCTCGCACTCCAGCATGCTCGCACTCCAGCATGCTCGCACTCCAGCATGCTCGCACTCCAGCATGCTCGCACTCCAGCATGCTCGCACTCCAGCATGCTCGCTCTCCAGCATGCTCACACTCCAGCATGCTCACACTCCAGCATGCTCACACTCCAGCATGCTCGCTCTCCAGCATGCTCGCTCTCCAGCATGCTCACACTCCAGCATGCTCGCACTCCAGCATGCTCACACTGCAGCATGCTCGCACTCCAGCATGCTTGCACTCCAGCATGCTCCCACTCCAGCATGCTCGCACTCCAGCATGCTCGCACTCCAGCATGCTCGCACTCCAGCATGCTCGCACTCCAGCATGCTCGCTCTCCAGCATGCTCACACTCCAGCATGCTCACACTCCAGCATGCTCACACTCCAGCATGCTCGCTCTCCAGCATGCTCGCACTCCAGCATGCTCGCTCTCCAGCATGCTCGCTCTCCAGCATGCTCACCCTCCAGCATGCTCGCACTCCAGCATGCTCGCACTCCAGCATGCTCGCACTCCAGCATGCTCGCACTCCAGCATGCTCGCTCTCCAGCATGCTCGCACTCTAGCATGCTCGCACTCCAGCATGCTCGCACTCTAGCATGCTCGCACTCCAGCATGCTCGCACTCCAGCATGCTCGCACTCCAGCATGCTCCCACTCCAGCATGCTCGCACTCCAGCATGCTCGCACTCCAGCATGCTCGCACGCACTCCAGCATGCTCGCACGCACTCCAGCATGCTCGCACTTCAGCACGCACGGCTGCTGCTTGCACCCTCAACCCTCCCTCTGCTGCTGTTCCTTCCGTTGTATTGGCTACCATCTCTCCCTGCCCCTATGGCCTCCCACTTGCACGGTCTAATCCCCCTGCGCACTTTGCGTCCCCCTCCCTCCCCTTCCCCCCCCCCCAGGCATGAACGGCGTGTCATCCCAGCGCGTGGCGTCCCCCCGCGCCGTGGCAGCGCGCATGAGGGCGGCTGCCAGCGCCGCCGTGGACGCTGCTGCTGCTGGGGGCGCGGGGGGCAGCATGCGCGGGCGCTTGGCAGGCGACAGGTGGGGGGGGAGGGATGACGAGTGGGGCAGTGGGGGGGGCAGTGAGAAGGAGGCACGCAGGGGGGGGCGCGGGGAGGAGGGGTATTCAAGGGCGCAGGAGATGGTGGAGAGCAACGAGCACATCTTCCGCCAGGCCTGGGAGAACGACCGCCATGACGACGCGCCCGCGCTCCCCTGGCCCAGCCCCTCCGCCTCCGCTGCTGCCACCAGCAGCAGCAGCAGCAGTAGCAGCATGGGTGGGAGGGGGGGGGGCGCGGAGGGGGAGGAGGCAGCGGGGGCAGCAGCGGTGGCGCGGCGGCAGGTGCAGGTGCACGTGAGGGATGCGGCGCGCACGCTGTCGGTGGAGTCGGGGGGCGCGCACTACCAGCGCCGCATCGTGCTCGCGCCCGACGCCAACTCCATGTCTGACGCCGAGGGCTCCTCCGCCACGCGCCGCCATGCCGCGGGGGGGGCAGGCCCAGCAGGGCCGGGCGGCGGCGGGCGGGGAGAGGTGTCCCGCTTGGCCCGCCCGCGCAACTTCGCTGACTTCAGGGCGGAGCGACTGGTGGGGGGAGGAGGGGGGGCGGGGGGAGGCGGGCCCAGTACTCCCAGGGGCAGTCCGGGGACGCCACGGGGCGGGGAGGGGGGCGCAAGGGCAGGGGGGGGGGGCGCAGCAGGGGGGCCATCGACGCCTAGGCGGGTTGGTGCTGATCGGGGGGGGTCAGATGAAGACGTGGAGGAGAGAGGGGGGGGGGCAGGGGCAGGGCAGAGAGAGAAGGTGGGGGGAGGGCGGGTGGGGCCAGGCGGCAGTGGGGTGGAGAGGCGCGTAGCGTCCGCAGCGCGGGCGGCGCGGGACAACCCCTATGCCTCGTGGAATGGGGGCTCGCTGGCGGACAGGGGCGCTCTGGCGGACAGAGGTGCAGGGGGCGGGGCGGTTACAGGCGTGGGCGGTGGGGGGGACAGACAGCCACATCGGTCAGCGAGCTCGGAGGAGAGGCAGGGTGAGGGGGTGGGGGAGAGGGGAGGGGGGAGGGGAGGGGCAGGGCATTTGCGGCACTTGAGGGAGAGTGGCAACGCGGACAGTGACAGCGAGGTGGTGACCAGGCGGTCGCGAGCCATCAAGGCAGCAGGCAGCCCCTCCACGCCCTCACGCTCGCCTCCCCCGTCCGACTTCTCGCGCCGCTTCTCCTCGCTGCGCGTCGCCGATGGCGCCGGCCTCAGGGCCGCCAGTCCCGGCAGCAGTGCGGGCGGCGACGAGGAGGCGGGCAGGCGGGGGGTGGCAGGCAGCGCGCGGGCGAGGAGTCCGCTGAAGGGCGCGCAGGCAGCGCCGTGGGAAGACGACGGCAGCCCGCGCACCCCCACAGGTGGCGCAGCAGCAGGGGCTGGTGTGGGTGGCGGTGGCGGCAGCAGCAGCGGGCGCATGACACCCCGCGGGCCCCGCGAGCGCAGGTCCGTGAAGTTCGCCGTGCCGGAGGGGGGCGACAGGGACAGGGACAGGGACAGGGACAGGGAGAGGGAGAGGGGCGAGGGGCATGGGGCCAATGGGGGTCACGGGGGGCATGGGGGCGGTGGCAGCGAGGAGGGAGGTGCGGGTGAGGGCAGGGGCAAGGAAAGGGACAGGAGCGAGAGGAATGAGAGGAACGAGCGCAGCGAGCGCAAGTGCCAGTCGTTTGTGCCGCCGACAGCATCGGGCACGGGCAGGAGGGGCGGGGGCGGAGGCGCGGCGTCGGTGTCAGAGGAGGACCTCAAGCTCATCCGCGCCGACTGGCGGGCCGACGCCGCCAGGGGCGGGTGCGTGGCGTGCGGCGAGGTGCTGTGCGCCTGCAAGACCCGGCCCGACAACAGAAGCACGCCCGTGAAGAAAGGCACGTCGGAGGATAAACAGGCACCCGGTGGGGGCAAGGAGGGGAAGGAGAAGGGGAGGGAGAAGGAGAAGGGGAAGGGGGTGGAGAAGGAGGAGGCGGTGGGCGGGAAGGAGAAGGAGAAGGAGGGCGGGGGCGGAGGGGGAGAATCGGAGGACGAGGCGGCGGTGCCGGAGGAGCTGCTGCAGGACGACCCGGAGGTGTCGCCGCTGGGCACCATGAAGTGGAAGCGCGGCGAGCTGCTGGGCGAAGGCGCCTACGGCAAGGTGCGCGCACCATGCCGCTCCGCCTCCCCCCTACCTCTCCACAATCCCTTCGTCATCTCATCCCACTCCCCTTATCTCCTCATTGGCCCTTGCCGCCTCCTCTCCCTCCCCTCCCCCTCCTCCTCCCCCCTCCCCCCTGCGTGCGCCAGGTGTTTCTGGGCCTCAACGAGCGCACGGGCGAGCTGATGGCCGTGAAGCAGATGAAGCTCACGGCGGGCGACGAGCGCGCCATGCACATAGCAGCGCTGGAGCGTGAGATCGTGCTGTACCGCAAGATGCGGCACCGCCACATCGTGGGGTACATTGACATGGAGAAGGACCCCTCCGACGGCTCCATCTACATCTTCCTCGAATTCGTCTCCGGCGGCTCCATCCACAGGTCAGCCTTGGGCCTCCATCCACAGGTCAGCATTGGGCCTCCATCCACAGGTGAGCCTCCATCCACAGGTGAGCCTCCATCCACAGGTGAGCCTCCATCCACAGGTGAGCCTCCATTCACAGGTGAGCCTCCATCCACAGGTGAGCCTCCATCCACAGGTGAGCCTCCATCCACAGGTGAGACTCCATTCACAGGTGAGCCTCCATCCACAGGTGAGCCTCCATCCACAGGTGAGCCTCCATCCACAGGTGAGCCTCCATCCACAGGTGAGCCTCCATCCACAGGTGAGCCTCCATCCACAGGTGAGCCTCCATCCACAGGTGAGCCTCCATCCACAGGTGAGCCTCCATCCACAGGTGAGCCTCCATCCACAGGTGAGCCCCCATCCATAGGTGAGCCTTGGTCTGCCATCTATAGGTGGTTTCTGGGCCGCCATCTACAGGTGAGGCTTGGGAGAGGTGGAATGGTGAGAGGATTATAGGATTGAAGGCTTTAGTCAAGGCTTTAGTGAAGGCTTTTGTGAACGAATGCTGTGATTGCGGGCAGTGGCAGCAGCACGGGTTGTGCTGTTTTGCAAATTGGCTGCCTATTTGTGTGTTTGTTGCTCGTTCATGTCAATGTGCAAGCCCGTAGCTCAGGTGTTTGCATGCGTAGGTATCTGTGTAGGTGTCTATGTGCTTGTGGTTGTACTTCCCCCCATCTTCCCGCTCTCCCCCCCCCCTTTCCGCCCGCGTGGTGGCAGCATGCTGGAGAAGTTTGGCAAGTTCAGCGAGTCGTTGGTGCGCGTGTACACGCGGCAGCTGCTGCTGGGGCTGGAGTACCTGCACCGCTGCAAGATCATCCACCGTGACATCAAGGGAGGCAACGTCCTCGTCGACCGCGACGGTGTCATCAAGCTCGCCGACTTTGGGGCATCCAAGGTGAGTCAAGCTCGTCGACTTTGTGTGCCAAAGTTGTCTCCTCTTGTGCTATAGTGTGGTGTGGTGGGGTGTGTTGTTGAATTGCGAACGGTCAGCAGAATCGACTAGCATTTGCACTCACCACCTCTTCACCGTCGTCCACCTTCCCCCTGCACCGCCCGTCCTCTGTCCCCCCAACAGGCGTTCCAGGAGGGCACGGTGGGCGAAGGGTGCAAGTCGATCCGCGGGTCGGTGTTCTGGATGGCGCCCGAGGTCATCACGGGCGCGGGCTACGGCCGCAAGGCCGACATCTGGAGCCTCGGCTGCACTGTCATCGAAATGCTCACCGGCAGGTCAGAGGGGGCTGAGATGCTCACCGGCAGGTCAGAGGGGGCTGAGATGCGGACAAGGAATGATTTGGTGTGATGGTGACAATGTTGTGAGGCTGTGCGTTGATGGTGGAGGGACGTGTGTGAAGGTTTTGCCAACTGTGTGCCACCCGAAACCCCTTTTGTCTGTGTGCCTTTGCATGCCATGGTGCGTGTGCGCACAACACTCCCTTCTGTCCCCCCCCAGCCACCCGTGGCCGGGCATGGACAACACGTGGTCCGCCATCTTCCACATCGCCAAGACCACCACGGGCCCGCCCACGCCTGAAGAGAGCAGCGCCGACGGCAGGGACTTCCTGGCCGCCTGCTTCCAGCTCGACCCCGCACTCAGACCCTCCGCTGCTCAGGTGGGTGCCTCCGCTGCCTAGGTGTGAGGCGCTGCTGCTCAGGTGGGTGCCTCCGCTGCTCAGGTGTGAGGCGCTGCTGCTCAGGTGTGTGCCTCTGCTGCTCAGGTGTGCGCCTCCGCTGCTCAGGTGTGAGGCGCTGCTGCTCAGGTGTGTGCCTCTGCTGCTCAGGTGTGCGCCTCCGCTGCTCAGGTGTGAGGCGCTGCTGCTCAGGTGTGTGCCTCTGCTGCTCAGGTGTGCGCCTCCGCTGCTCAGGTGTGAGGCGCTGCTGCTCAGGTGTGTGCCTCCGCTGCTCAGGTGTGTGCCTCCGCTGCTCAGGTGTGTGCCTCCGCTGCTCAGGTGTGAGCCGCTGCTGCTCAGGTGTGAGTTGCTGCTGCCCAGGTGGGTGCCTCTGCTGTTCAGGTGTGCCCCTAAACCCAGGGGATGAAGTCACGTGTGTTGTGGGGGGCTGCTGCTTCATGGCATGCTGCAGGGCGTGGTGGTGAGTGAGGCAGCACTGCCGGGGTGGAATGGAAGAGTGCATGGAACCACAGCACGGAGCGGGCAGAGGTACGGCTATGGCAGGACTGGTTTGGGATGGGCATGGATGGGCATGACAGGAGTGCACCAAGCAATGGCCCACACTTGCCTGGGGCGCACGCGCTGCACCAGATGAAACCATGACAAAGCCTTACCATTCCCTGTCCCCTCCCCCCCGCCCGTGCGCTTGCCGTGCTGCAGCTCCTGCAGCACCCATTTGTGCAGGTGCCCGACACGCCCAGGGATGCGCGCATGGCGGGATTCTGATGTGCTCGCTTACCCACTGCCTGCTGTTTCGCTGCCATGCCTGTTCTGTGTGGTGAAATTGTATCTTATCAATCTGCAATAAAGCTTGTAACAGCTGGCCTTTTACAAGCTATGGTGAATAAGATAGTCTGCTAATCTGCATGCTTTGAAGGCTGGGTAGTCCTGTTATGGAGCAGCACACAAGCACATGCAGCCTGTAGGGCAAGCACTAAACAATATGTTCAGAAGTACCAGCTTGTGTTGCAGCATGCTCCTCCCCAGCACCTACGTTTTGCCTTCTGCCATTCCCTCGGCCCACCCTCACGCCTCCTGCCACAGCAGTCCGTTCCATCAAACCCCCCCCCCCCCCCCTCCCCCTCTCGCCGCTCTCTGTTGTCCGCACCTCCTCCACCCCTGCCGTTGGCTGTGCCATCCATGCCACCACCTGCCATTGCCTCTTGCCGTTGTCTCCACTCTGCACCGAGCCCTGCAAGCGCTCGCCCTGCAACGACCGCACTCCTGATTCAACTCCATGCGCCGCGCCGCCTCATGTCTACCTTGGGGTGCGTGCGGTGCCCTTGCCCTCACCCACACCCGCCTGCTCCCCCCCCCTTCTGCTGCCCCACATGCTGTGCTTCACGTGCCAGCCTGCCACTCTGCCCTCCCCTCGCGGCACCAAACGCATCCCTCACTCACCAACACGTGCCCCACGGACCGACTGCACACACACGGTGCAGCAGCCCACGTGCTGTCGCCACACGGCTCTTGAGGAAACACCAGCCACGCGTCCACCTGAGCGCCTGAGGCGTCCTCACCGCCTGCTGTGGTGCAGCCCGCACCGGCGGCTGTAGCAGCAGCTGTAGCCGTGTCATGGAGCTTGCTGGTTGGCTCATGCAGCACGTCACTCCCATTGCTGGTCTCACCGCACGCCACTCCCACGTCATCATGCGCCTCCAGCCACCCCCCTGCGCGGCACACCTCGTCCTCCACGTGCCCCTGTCCCCCACCTCCCCCCCGCACTGCTGCATTCAGCGCCGCGCATGCCCGCCCTCGCCCTGCCTGCCCCTCTCTGATGCCCTGTGCCGCCTGCCCAGCCCGTGCCACTCTCTTCTGCGTCACCAGCCGCTGCAGCACCCCCCCTATTGTGCCCGCCTGCGCTGCTGCGCCCCCCTTCCGTGCTGCGCTCCTCTCCGCCCACCTGGCGTGCACACGCGCGGTGCGCTGCCTGCGTGTCACCTGCGTGTGGCGCTGGTGGAACGCCATAAGGGGCGGAGGGGAGTGGGGCGCGGGAGTGGGGGGAGCGAGGGGCCGCTGGGAGGCGGGGGGGAGGGAGGAAGAGGAGGAGGAGGTGGTGGTGGTGGTGGTGGTGGTGGTGGTGGTGGTGGTGGTGGTGGCGTGGGTCGGACGCGCATGGCCGTGGGCAGTGCAGGCAGGCGGACCCACTGACTCCAATGCCTGCAATGCATCCAGTGCCGCCAACGCCTCCAACGCCCCCAACGAGTGCACACCCAGCGCTGCCGCCAGTGGCACCAGTCCCGCCGCTCCTCCACCTCCCGCACCCCGCTGCTGGATTCCTGGAATCGTCTCTTCCAGTCCCGCCCGCGCTATCATGCCCGCGCGCTCCCAGCCATGGCAGCCAGGCTGAGCGGAGGCGGCGGAAGGCGGCAGGGCGGGGAGGGGAAACGCGATGGCGTGGTGACGCGGAGGGCAGAGGGCGTCGTCGCGGCACGGCAGGCCCACGAGCTCGCGGGCGACCGGCATGCCGTGCAAGGCCGCGGCTGCGGGGGAGTCCGCCCCTGGGCAGCCGTCAGCGACAGCAGACGAGTCACGCCTGCCCGCAAAACCGGCCCAGTCGTGTATTGCGGCGTCGGGATTGGCGGCCACTGAGTCGATCCGCGCCCGCGCCCCCTCGGAGCCCTCCATGCCGTCGCCGCGCCCGTTGGCGAGGCCCGTATCCGCGCTCGCCGCGATGGGGCACGCACTATCATGGATTGGGATGGCATTTCGTGCTCGCGCGGGGCTCGCCAGTCCGACCAGCTGCGCCAGCGCGTCCGCCACGGTCACGCATTTCGCGGGAGCTCGTGCCGCGGGAGGGCTGCTGGGCACGCGGCCGGCGGAGCCGTCGCATGGCTCCAGGCGCCGTCGCTTTCTGCAGCTCGCGGCCGCTGACGAGGCCCCCAGGGCAGCGCGCAACGTCGTCGCGGCGGCGGGACGTGCTCCGCCAGCGAGCGGCGCTGGGGGGTTGCGCTCGTGACGGGCGCGGGCGAGGCGTGCGGAAACTGTTTTGAGATTGAAATGCGTAAGCGGGGTAGGTCTCTGACACATGGTGGCGGTAGTCGCAACGAGAATCCAAAGCTTTGTCCGAGCGCGCTTGAAAGGAATCGAGTCGTACTGAAGTTGTTGGAATCGACAGGCAGCTAGGCAAAATAAGAAAAGAGCTGACTGGATGTGGCCGTGCTGAGGAGGACGGTCAGACTCACACAGCGTGCTGGGGAGGACCATGGTGCAGCAGATCAGAGGGAGGCACTGGGGGAGGGCAGGAGGTCGGAGGAAGACCTGGAGTGGGTGCGGGCGGCGGGGGGGGGAAGGGGGAGCGCGAGGCGGATTGCAGACAAGACGAGGTGGAATCGGGATGACTTGCCTCGCTGGCGCTGCGCTCCGCTATGCCATTCGACATGGCGTGTCACATTGGGCAAACTGGGTGCAAGCACAGCAAAGCACGAGCAAAACATGCCGTTCTGGAGGGGACATGATAAAAAAGGGTCCTCCCTTTGCCAGAGGCGTGAGCAAAAAAGGTCCGGCAGCTTTTTGCCCCGATACCTCGTCTCCGAGCCTGTACTACACCTTATTCGTCATACAATACGCACACATCACAGGGTCACAAATTTGCAGGTTCATGGGGGCGCTTCGTCTCGTAACCCTGTCGTGGGACCTTTAAACGAATTCAATGTACTGTATTAGGGCACACACAAAAAAAAGAGGCGACGAGGTCGTCTTAGGGTTGCGGAGCAGTAGAATATAACATTTTAAGATAGTATTTTGCTTCAATTGCTTGTTTTTGTAAGAAGAAATATTCATACATTCTGGGTGGTAGTGAGTGCATCTGCAAGAACATATTCCCTGCAAGAGATTTTTGGACTTTCAGTCCCTTGCCATAAAACGGACCTGACGTGAACCGATCTGACGACTTAACCAACAATTCCTGAATATCAAACAATTGCGCTTACCTAACCTGAACGTGTCGAGTAAAAAAGGTCCTGGTATTTTGTTTTTGCGATGAATCTTGCGTGTCTCTTCATCCCGTAGGGTTTCATTCACCTGTTTCTAGCGTGTCTCTTCACCTTGCGCTCTCTGTTTCCTACCTAAGCTCTGACGTTCCTAACAAAATCGAGCTTCCTTAGATTAGTTTCTTCCACATTTTCTACGCTCCTCTATTTTCTATGCCTAGATCCTACGTCGACTGAGGGATGCGGCGTTCGAAATAGCCAGCTGGATAATCTAGACAGCGCACTATTCAAGCTTGGTTTCTTGACCTGCAACACCTCTCATCAACGGTCCTTCCTTTTCACTCCGTTACATCCTCTCCTTTATCTAACGTCTCCTTTTCCGACGGATTCTCAGCCTTATTCCTTACTTTCCCCCTCATTTTGTATCCTCTCAATACTTATTCTATGTTTCCCATTTCCTCTTATTTGTCTCCCCTGATTAGCTCAATCTCAAGCTAGAAGAGAGGATAACCGAGCGGACTTCATCTACGACGCACACTACGCAATTTATCTCTCTTCCCTCACTCCCTTTACATTATACTATTTCCTCTCCCTCCTTTCTCTCCCTTCGCTCCTTTCCATCCTCCACTTTGCCAGTCTTTATCTCTTCCGTTTTAGTTTCATCACATGTTCGTCCGCTCCATACCTTTCCATTCCCTCTTCTATTTCAAAATTGATTTACTCTCTTCTTGATTCTCTGATTCTTGTTGACTCAAGTTTTCAAGTGTTTTTGAAAACGCCGAACTATCCTTGGATGGCGCCAATGAAGCCATGGACCCATGTCTCAGAGATTTGAAGCTTAACAAAATGTGGCATCTTTGTGCATCTGATTTGCAATGTTATGAGTGACTCATGCGTTGTGAGTGGAATGGTTTCATTCATTCATTGCATCGGTAATACATCTTTTGTTTGTCTCAAAAAGTGGTTTTGTGCCTTTCACTTCACGTAAGGTTCTTTGACTCTCTCTTTGAGTGCAGTCACTTGAACTGAAAGTGTTAGTGCAATCCATTTTTGGAGCTCACAAAATTGTATTGCTTCATTTGTGCAAAAAGCTTTCTGCTTCCCCCACTTAGCTGGGGAAGCGATAGCTTATTTTTGTCATTGACAAAAATACGCACGGAAAATGGTGGAAACAGAAACACATTGTTTTTATGTTTCCATCACGATTACTAAATGTAAGAAGTGTGTAACTAATCAGTTACACGACTATGTAGTGCATCTTTCAGCATCATTAACTAGGTTTATAAACATAGAAGTAATTTAGGAAACTCTAAATGTGAAATATGATATACTTTCTTTATTCTTTCGCAATTTTTAGCCCCAAAACTTGAAAAAAAAAAATCTAGGTCCAATCGATCGCAATAGGTTGCTCCGCAACCCAAAAAACTAAAACCCATAGGGGCACCGCATGCGACTCGGGGTGGCATCAACCCTAAACTCGCAAAAGGGCCGCGTATTTAGGGTGATGCCATCCGGAACGGAATTCCGTCCCCAATGGATTTTAGTTTTTTTTTTCCCGTTGAGAAATGTTGAGTGGTACCGCAAACGTCCCGTAAATGTTTAAAGTACTAAACAAAGAAAGAAGTGTATTTCAGTTTCAGAGGCGAGGTCCTTGGAGCAGAAAATAACCGGACTAATTTTGCTCACGCCTCTGGCAAAGCGAGGACACTTTTTTTATCATTTCCCGTCCTGGTGGGAGGAGCACCTGACATGCACGTTGCCATCGCATAGAAGCCTCTCGAAGGTAATTGGGTGCTAATATCGAAAATATAAGCATGTTAGAATATATAATGTGGATAAAATTTATAAACACCCAAGCTTGTGAGCTCATAGCATTCCATGAATGATGTATCGCAAGGAAAGTTGACTAGAGAGGAGAGACACAATGGCACATCTAATTGTTGTACCTTATATAACCTGAAACGTAATCATACTACAGTGTTCATATATATACCTAACAAGCACATACATACATATGTACATGAGCGCTAACACACCCCCTAGCTTGGGTAGTGGCAGAGACTAACAAGAAACCATAATCCAGGGCAGAATTACTACTCTGGCCTCTAGAGTATATAACATAACAGCCCAGGGTAGCGCTACATGTCTGACAACTGAGACAATGGCCAAACGGCCAGTCAGCAAGTGTAACAAGACAAAAGGTATTGAGTAGCATGAATAAAGCCGGTATAACAGAGATCAGGATACAAGTAAAAGCGATGCTATTGAGACAAGACCAAACAGAGTACATAACCGCTGATGGTCACGAGGGCCTAGGGCCTTGGTGAAGATATCAACAGTGTTGGCCTCTGAGGCCAACTGTACTACACAAATCTGACCGAGCTGCTGCAACTCATGCAGCATGAAGTACTGCACCTGGGTGTGCTTCTCCCTGCCCACAAGTCGAGCCTCCTGACACAGGAGGATCATGGTCTTGTTACCAGCAAACAGGACCAGCGCAGACCTAGGTTGCTCACCGAAGTCGGTGAGCAAGAACGTTAGTCAGTGGAGCTCTTGAGCGGCCATGGTATTAGCTAATAATATATACATATCCTAGTTAGAATGTACTTGATAGTATATCCTAGCTAGGTCAGTTCTTAGAGAGGAAAACAATCTGTACTTGTATCTCCCCTCACCTCTTCCTATTCTAACATGGTACAGAGCTAGGTTAGATTTTCCGCACTTCACGCTTCCGGCCGTAGTGTATCAAAAAAAAAAATCCGCACCTAACGCTCTCCAATTTCGCGCTTCGTATGTCCTTCCCCACCCCCCCCACCCAGCACTTGCTCGGTTTCATACGCCAGCCAGTCGGCCAGCCAGCCAACTCGCTCACTCACTCACCAGCCAGCTAGCCCCCCAGCTCGCTCCCTAGCTCTCTAGTGCCAATTGTGTCAGCCTGCCGTCTTGCCCTTAGCCCATCGTTTCGCACCTGCTGGTCGCCACTAGCCCCTCCTCACCACTCTTGTGTAGCGCCAGCCAGCTCGCTGCCAGCAGTGCCAGCCGGCTCGTCGTCAGCAGCGCCAACCAGTTGGCCACTAGCAATGTCTGCCAGCTCGCCGCCAGCAGCACCTGCCAGCTCGCCGCCAGCAACGCCGGCCGGCTAGCCGCCAGCATTGCCAGCTCGCTCACCGCCAACAGCACCAGCTAGCTCGCCGCCAGCAGCGCCAGCCAGCTCGCCGCCAGCAGCGCCTGCCAACTGGCTGCCAGTAGTGCCAGCCAGGTCACTGCCAGCAGCGCCAGCCATCTAGCCGCCAGCCAGCAAGCCGCCAGCAGTGCCAGCCAGCTTGCCGACGGCAGCGCCAGCTAGTTCGCCGCCAGCAATGCCAGTCAGCTCACTGCCAGAAGCGCCAGCCAACTAGCCGCTAGTAGTGCCAGCCAGCTCGCCACCAGTTGCACCTGCCCACCAGCCGTCAGCAGTGCCACCTAGAGCCAGCAGCCGCCAGCTAGTCCGCCAACCCGCTCGATACTGGTTCGCCGCAACATCTGCTGCTGCTGCTGCCGCTCCTTCCGCTGCCCTCGCTGCCGCTGTTCCTCTGCTGCTGCTGCTCCTCCCGCTGCCGCCGCTCTTGCTGCTGCCGCAGCTCCTCCCGCTGCTGCTGCAGCCACTGCTGTAGCCGTTCCTATCGCTGCCGCCGCTACCGCTGCTCTTGCCACTGCCGCTGCTCCTCCCCCTGCCGCCCCTGCCGCTGCAGCTGCTACTACCGCCGCTCCTGCCGCTGCCTCCGCTAGCTGGCAGCCACGCCATTGCCACCAGCCAGCTCGCCGCTGGCCCGCCGCCATCGCCACCCTGCAGCCAGCTAGTCGCAGCCGCTGCCACGGCTCCCACTGCAGCACCCGTCACTGCTGCCCCTCTAGCAGTGGCCGCCGCTGTCTCTGCCTCTGCTGCCACCGTCTTCCCGGTCGCAGCTGCCACCGCAGTCGCCAGCATGTCGGCGGCCAGCATCTTCGTTCTGGACCTAAATGGGGAGGGGCCGGCAGTTGGCTTTGCCACCTGGCAAGAGACGGTCCTCGACGTCCACGTCGCTGGTGAGCTCCCTCCTCCTCCCCGCCCGGGCACTCTCGCGACGTCCGTGCAGCAGGCTGCACACGCTACTGCCCGCACCACCTACTCGGCCTGGGCATCCCACGATGCCATTGCTCGTGTCACCATCCTCAGGTGCCTGCTGGTTGACGAGTACTCCCATTTCAGCCCACGCCCTCTAGGACGGCTATCCTTGCT